AACCCATAGCATTATTTTAATAAATGTTATAATACCAACCTACTAACTCTGGACTATGTCTGTTTATTAACCTATCCATGTTTAATTAAAATCAATAAATAAATAAAGACAGAAGAATGTAAAGTCTTGAGTTACTGGACTAACCCTGAAGAACGTGACCACAGATAACACAGCGTGACTTGTTTTTTATGTTGTTTGTCAGCTGACAATTCTGCACACTACTGTTAAGTTGGCTTTGGTTATTCTGGCCTTTTCCCTTGGGGGTAGATGCCAGTAGAGATGGGAACAAAGGAGTATCTACTGGAGGCATTCTTCTTGTAGAGTCTTGCCACTTGCCTTTCAGCATCTGCATTACTAATTCCACACTTTCTTATTTTTCCTCCTCCAAAATAATCACTGTCTGCTCACAGCAAAAGAGCAAAGAGGCTCAGTGTGATGATATACCAAGAGAAACCAGTTTGATTCTTTGTTGAACCATTTTCTCTAGCTTTTCCATAAGAAGCAGGTAATTTTCATGGTCTATACTAAAAGGCAAAGAATCTGGTTATTTCTTACAATTTTCCTAATACTTGTAAAAAGTTGATTTGACATTTTTCCTTTGTAAAGCTTAAGCAGTGTTAAACTTTTACTGTTATGGTTATAGTTACGTCATTATTAGCTCAGGGGACTACGACCTAGGCAAAGCCAAAGGTTAAATTGACTGTTTCTCATGAGGTGATTGACAGACATAAAAACAGCAAACAACCTTTTAGACACCACTATTGGTGTTACCTCATGTTTTCTTTGCCCTTCCATATCCCTCCCTACCCCCACCCCCCTACACCTTTAGATAATTGATTAAAACATGGAAGTGGGGGAAAATTAGCACTTAAAAGTTGCATTTGGTGAATTGTCTGTGTGCAGATTTTAAGAATTGTAAGAATTGTGACTACTTTAATGTTTATCCAAGTTGCAACCTTGTTAAAGCCACTTAGGTTTATGAACATAAAATTTTCTGTTACATGCAAAGAGACCACCTGTTAACCAAATAGTTTTTCATGTGCATCATTTTATTTCACAGATACTGGTCGCTTTCCTTTTCTGTGAAAACATTGTATTTTTCTAGATGATAAAATTCTAAAGGTGAATAATTGCATTTGTAAAAGCAGATTTATTTCTGCGGTTTGTAATTAATTAACCTCTCGAGTTCCAAAAAGGATTTTTTTTGGCCTGGGAGGAGGTTGGGGGAAGTGTTTAGGGAGTAGGTAGCCTGGATCGATGGAATAGGTAGGCAGTGTCTCTATGGCTAAAACAGCCTATTGGATCAGTCACACATCAGCGTTCTTTAATAAAAGAAATTTATGTGTTTATATTTTATATTAGTTAATTATAAAAGAGACATTAATTCATTGGGGTTTTTACTTTTTAACTGGTTGTAATGGCAATTATACAACACAGCTATAATTTGCTGCTGCTTATAAAAGATCGTGATGTCCTTTTCTTCCCTCAAACATTGTTTCTGGAAATTTAGTTATAAAACTTGATTTACAAGTTCATTCTCTGTGGTGGTACCTTGTCACTTACTTTCAAGGGTTTCCATGCACTTAATATATGCATACTCTGGAACCCTCAAGCAGTCTCATCTCACCTTCAGCTAATGGTACTTAAGATGTAATTACTGTGATAGAGCTGGTTTATAGGTGCAGCAGCACTGATTCCCTGTGACTGAGTTTTGCTGTTCCTTCCTGGCAAGAGATTGCTATATTGTCAGAAATCTCAACTTCTAAGGCAAAACTCTGGCAACATTTGTTGTAAACGTTTTTGTGGGGAAAACTCTAAAGGGCACTTTCAAATCTCATTTTTTAAAAAGTCAGCTGGGGCTGGGGCAGCTAGGTAGCACAATGGATAGAGTACTGGCCCTGGAATCAGGAGGACCTGAGTTCAAATGTGACCTCAGGCACTTGACACTTACTAGCTGTGTGACCCTGGGCAAGTCACTTAACCCTGGTTGCCTCACACCAAAAAAAAGTGGGGGGGGGAAGGCAGCGTAGGATAGAAATAGAAGGTCAAAAAACTGACAATTTAAGGTAATATTAATGGTGATGAAAACATCAGTTATCAATTTGACAAGTCACCTGGAAACTCTGAACTTTGAGCTAAGAAGCTTATTTAATATGCCTAATTAGAAATGAATTTTTGTTTTTTTCTTACGACAGACAAATGTGAGGAAATATGTAGAGTGACTCTAGATATTCATATATGTTACAGTGCAGCAGCTTGACTTACAGTAGTTTAAAAATAGGTAATTTAAACTATCTGTGCATGAAACCAAAATTTGTATATATACTATTTATAATCAGTTTTTAAATAGTTTTTAATTACTTTTCTAGTGCACTGAATGATGATAGATTTATCTGCTTTGTAGCATACCAAAAATAATTTCTTTAGCAGAACTCTTCTTAATATGAATATTTTATAATTCAGCAGTATTACGTTTAGTGGGCTTTCATTGTCTGATTACACAATTCCAAAAACAGTTAGTTACCATTTTAATAGAGCAAAATATACTGAGTGTTTCACATTAAAAACATTAAGCTTTCAGTAAGCTGCCCTATGAACTTTTTTGGACTTTTGTAGAGTGTTTTATCAAATGTCTGTTTCAGCATATATGTAGCCAACTTTGAGGGATCACGTAAAAATATGCTAATTTTCTCTTACCACAATTAATAAAAGCTTTCATTTTGAAATGGAAATTTTGTTAACTGGATATAATCAATTCTGTATAACACCATGGAACAATTTTTAAAACATTCCTATGGTGCACACATTTGACATTTTACCTAGCATGCTTCTGTTTCATGTCAAAATGCTTGTTATCAGGATGGTATTGTTAACAAAACCATATACCTACTTGGTACTCAATGCTGAATCAAACTGGTTAACCTAAGCACAGTGCTCTCTTTTCTATGTTTCTGCTGCACTAATTGCCAATGAAAAAGTTCATTAAATAGTGGTGGGTGGTATGTGCAGCAGTGTTCACACTATTGATTCCTCATTGCTGACTGTTCTTCTGTGGGGAAAAAATTCAACTCCCAGGGCAAAAGTTAACTTACACCTAAAAAGTGCTACAATTAATTATTTCATATTACCAAATATATTTTGTGATTTGTGTTATAGCAACTTATGTGAAACATTTAGAGTTTTGTTTATGGAAAATGTATATGGTGGTGGGAAATGAATATTCCCAGTACACATGTGAATGGAGAATAATATATGATATTACTGTAATTAATGATGTGCAATAAACCAACTGGAACAGGTGCATGTGCTTTATCCTCAAAAGCCAGTTGCAGCTAAAATGCTGCGGTTTTATTTACTGAAACGATAATTTTTAATGTATCTGAATGTGTCAGAATAAAGATTGCACATTTTAACTTTTAATTTGCATTAATGCTTTTAGCAGTATTTAAAAGAGAACTAAGTTCCATGATTCTAGAACTCTGTTAACATAAAGAATTACTGTAATCTTTGCTATGATTTCAGTGACTAGAAAAGGAAATGAGTAAATAAACACTACAAATGGCTTAAGTTGAATTTGTTCATCCACAAAAGGTATGATTGTTTTGAATTCTATTTCATCTTTGTTATCTAGATATAGCTTTTCCAGGGAGGTAGAATCAGATTATACATTGGTCTCCTAAATGGTGAAGCACCTTCTTCAAACCTAAAAGACAATAACATCAAAAAGGGGTTACATTCCAGTAATTTCACAGGATAGAGAGAGAGGCTGGAGTTCTACTTAGGCATGCAAGTTTCCGAATAGGCTTTTTTTTAATCATTTAATTTCTATTTCAATTTACCAAACATTTTTATTTGGTCTTATCATTTTTAGGTATTCTGTCTCCCTCCCATTATTTACTACTCAAATAACATTTGATCAATGTTTTCTTTTGCTCATTATCATGGTCATTATTCTTCAT